AAATATCAGTTCCCCCACAGGAAGTATCCTCAGGCTTTGGGGTATTGCTCCTGGAGAGCTGTGCTGTCCACGCTGAGCTCCCTGCCCCCTTTCCTGCCCCTGGCCAGCGGGGGATGAGGAATGCAAATTAGTTCCAAAGCTCTGGACTGCAAACAAATTCTATGCGAAGCATTGTTAGGCAAGAAAACCCGCTGAGAAAAAAATATTGTATCGTTCCCAGAAAGAAATGAACAGGATTGCAGAATGAAATGATTTTTGGACAATGCCTCAAGGTTGCTCCAGCCCACGCTTGCTCTCCCTTCCCTGAACCCTCCATGCACTCAGCACACCGCACCACCCTTTCCAAGCTCACTCCAACTCCTGCCTCACTGTTCAGTTTATGCCCCATCTGCTCCAGAAAATCATGCCTGCCGTGGGCAGAGTCCATGCCTTGGGGCCCCAAGTAACTGAACTGAAGGATCACAGCAACCAGGACAAGAGCCAATAATGGCTGCCTGACAAACTCCTACTCACTCTGCAAGACCCACTGCAAAGGAACCCTCCTCTGTGAAGCTTTCCCCTATGGGAGTGGCCTCTCCCTCCACTTGTAATTGGCACCTCTAAGATGACCTCCTCCCTAAGTGTGGGCAAGATCCTGTGTCTCACTTCTTCTTGGAGGTGATGCTGAGACACCACCTCCGAGATTAGGTTACAAAGAGACCTTGCCCTGAGGGAAGAAGCTACTGCGCTGTGCCTCTTGAGGAGAGGGCATGGAAAGGAGCAGCCAGGGAGCCCGAGGCCTGCTGGCAGAGCCATGAGTGTGCCTTGCTGGGAGCACAAGCCCAGCCCCAGTCAAGCTTTCAAATGACAGCTGCCCCAGTCCATACCTTGGTGGCAGCCTGGGAGAGACCCTGGCCCGATTCTCTCCTGCCCCCCGTCCCCCCCAGAGCTGTGAGACATGCAGCATCCCTTTCTCCACTACCTTCTGGGGTAATCTGTCCTGGGAACATGGAGAGCAAATAGTGAGCCTCCCCCAGCCAGTCTGAAAGCACCGTGTCCTGGTCATCACTGCACCGCCAGGGCCGGGCAGCGGGAGAGGGTGGGCCTAGTCATCAGGGAAGTCTCTCTGAGGAGGTGGCTTTGAGCTGAGGTGTGCAGGCTAGGGCAGTCCTGCCCTGAGAGCGTCTTGGGAAAACATATCCTAGATACAGGAGTCGGTAGTACAAGGCCCTGGTGTGGACGTGACTGTGTGTATTCGAGGAACAGAAAGGCCCTGATGAGCTGGCCCAAGGACCAGGACAGTAACACGTGAGGAGGCTGGAGAGGGAGCAGGCGGGGGAGGCCTTGGACCCTACGGCTTCCAGAATCTGAATCAGAACCTGAACCACTGCCTCCTTCTCCCCAGTGACAGTCTGCTTCCCAGGGTCTGGTCTTGGGGTTGGACACAGGCCGGTTTCTTTCAGGGTGAAGCTCGGGACGACACACCACGTGCCCACTGCCACTCTGCCAGCCAAGTGCCCCGGAGCACTCCCCGAGGTCCAGTCCGGCAAGGACCAGCCCCCACCCACCTCCAAACCCTCTGGTCTTCAGCTCCTCGTCCCGGATGATGGTTGGGGCGATCCCCAGATCTTTTCCAACTTTCTTAATCTCCTGGATATGTTCGTGGAAAAAGCAACAACACAAAGACACGTGAAGACAGCTTAACTCAAGGCGAGGCCGAGGCTTTGGGCCAAGGACTAGCTGATGGCTGCCCGGTGGGGGAGGAACCAGGCTTGGAGGCCAGCGGCTCTGAGTCTCTTGCTTTGAGTGTGATTAAACCCAGGAGAGAAGGCTGGCCCTCCAAACTCTGCAATTTCCTGTAGCTCCTGGCTGGAGTCCTGCAGAGGGGCCTTCGAAAGAGGCTCTGTCCCCCTACCCCCTCGGCTGAGGCTGCTGGCCCCTGAGAGCTGGGTGGACAGTAGGTCTTTGTCTGCAGCAGCCCCAGGCTTCCCCAGGCAAAGAACAGAGACTATGAACACTGTCCCTCTCTGGCCCCCAGCTTTCCTGTGACCCTCCCTGTGGTCTACCGATACCCACCCCATCCCGGTCCCACCCCTGGCCTGACCCCTAGGGCCACGCACCTCAAGGAAGGTGTCTGTGTTCATCTCATTGCAGGGTGTGTCCACAATGCGGGCTGCCAGCCGTACGCCGTCCGTGGCATTGGTCAAGCACTAGAAAGAAATAGAGGCTGTCACCAGGGCCTTGAGACCAGGTGGAGGGGGGCTGTCCCTCCTGTCCATTCCCCTGGTGACTGGAAGGTGTCAGAGGCATTCGTCACCTGGGGGAGGTGGCGGGGCTGCTGACAAAACAGCAGGGGCAGGTGGAGGGGAAAGCAAGAGTCAAGCTGCCTGCTCTCACCCCCCAGCTCCTGACCCACCCAGCGATCTACAGAATGCCAGTGACCCTTCCGCCTGGCTAGGGTCCGGCCTGGCATTGTAGGGGCCTGCCTTCTTCCCAAGCCTCCTCGCCTGCTACTGCACTCCACACGGTGGCAGGTGACCCTTGTGCTTGGCCTGCAACGTGTCCTGGGCATTCCCACCTGTGGCCTCTGCCAATCCCCACACCCTCTCTCAGGAGGTGCTGACCTCTATTACGAACATGTCTGAGCCCCTCAGATGCACTGTGGAAGCCTCAACCCCCACTGGGATGGGATTAGGAGGCCTCTGGGGGGTCAACAGCGTGGGCCCCCTTGATGGGATTAGTGTCTCTACAAGCACATTCTCTGCCCTGTAAGGCACAACGAGGAGGTGGCCGTCTGAAAGCCAGGGAGGGAGCCCTCAGCAGAACCCACCCTGATCTCCGACTTCCAGCTCCAGAACTGTGAGAGGTAGATGCGTTGGTTAAGCTGCCTCGTCTGGGGTATTTTCTCATGGCAGTCTGAGCTGACCAATACACCCTCCCTTCTCTTCTCTTGAAGACCCCAGCCATCCTTAGGCACTGCTCAGAGGCCACACCCCCAGAAGCTCCTCTGGATCTTTCCAGAGTAAAAGCACTCCCCGCTGGCCCTCGGGGAGGCGTTTTTCTGACGTGAGCCCCTTGTGAGTGTGTTGCAGACCCAAGCCCACCCTTGTTTTCCTGGTCACCTGATGCCATTCTGCTCTGAGACAGAAGCGAGGGAAGAAACAGGCAGACCTGCCTTGTGCAGCCCATCCTCCACCCAGCACCCCAAGCCGGCCACCACAGGCACGTCAGGCAGGGGCGCACCCGTGCCTACAGACTCGTCCCAGACACTGGCTGCCCCACCCCCACCCCGCCCCGGCCCGGCCTTTCTGCTGAGAACTCCCATCTCACTTTTGCTTCTGCCCTGACCTGGAAGTTTTCTGCCTTCTCTCCTTTGTCTCTGCCCCAGTCCATCCCCCCAACCACCCCCAAGCTTCAGACAGGCGGCAATATTAAAAGAGAAAAGCTGTGCAGGTTTAGCGGGGGTGCAGACAGCACTGAGTTCATCTGCGGCTTTCTGGCCCCATGGTGTCAGGGCGGGCAGGCTCAGGGACAGCGCCAGCCCGCCACCTCCCAGGCCCTGTCCAATTGCTGCGCGAGCTCTGCCTGTTCTGAGGTAATTAAACCCCAAAGCCTAAAAGGCAGAGATACAGGACTTGACAGCTCAGATATGAGATGTGCCTGTGGGGTCCCGGTGACTGTCAGCGGGCTCTCCCCAGGGGAGGACCAGGTCCCCACCTGTGGGCGTCACACACACAAATCCATTGCTCATCTCTGACGCAGCCTGTGGCCGCTGTCTGGGAAGTGCGTCAATGCCCTGAGACTGGTCTCGAAGGAGGCCAGGTGGCTGCCTCACAGACCTCTGGTGAGCAAGCTCTCCCACGCAGCTGGCGCGGGTTCGAGGGCAGAAAACACACAGAGCCATGTGGACCTGGGTAGAGTGTGTACCTCATCACTTCACCACACACACAGGATCATTCATTCATTTACTCATTCCATCCATGCTTATTCGAGCACCTACTGTGTGCCACACTGGATTTAGAATCCAAAGATGTCCAAGAGACTCAAGTCCAGCAGAGACCACAGCATGCCATTCCATTCAAGGCTACAGTGACCTGAAGGAGACCAGGATGTGGACGGGGGCTGAAGAGGTCCCCACAGTGAGGACAAGGCCATATGGGATATCAGCACCTCCTGTGCTCACAATTATAGACAGACAGCGGCTGCAATTAAAAACTCACTCTACCCCTTGCTGGAGTGGCCCCAGAAAGTCACTTCATGTCGCTGAGCCTCAGTTTGCTCAGCTCTATAACGGTAATAACAACAGGACCCACCTCACAGGGCTGTTGTGACAATTCAGTGATCTGACCCGTGAGTGTGCACACATCGGCTGAGAGCAGGGCCTGGTACCTGACAAGCACTTGGAAGACACTGGTGCGCGTGTGTAAGGCAATGGGGAGGGACCTGGGGGCAGCAGGACCAGTTAAGGGACCACTGCAGTGGTCCAGGAGAACAGGAGGTGTGGGTGGGACACCCCGAGGCAGTGGGCAGTTGAGCCAAGTCCTGGGAAAATCATGCGTCAGATCAGGCCTCTGCCCTCCAGGAGCTCCGGAGCGACAGTGACCGCTTTCCCGATACAGAAGGGTGAGATGGGGAAAGGACAGCGCAGGTGTGGCTGCCGGAATGGGACTGGAGGTGGGGAGGGCAACAGCTCATCGGTGGGATCTGAGATGGTCACACCACAGGGGAGGGAAGCTGACACTCAATCCATACAAGGACTTGTGAGTTGGAAATCACTTCCGGCCTGGCCTTGCTCACAAAGGGTTGTCCTGAGGTTCCGGCGAAATAACATATGGGAAAGTCTGCCGTAAAGGGTATGTGACATGTACGTGCACAGGACGACTAGCATTCGAACATGAAAGAGCCGGCACTGCTTAGGTGCTCCATAAACACTAGGGGCACAAACCCGCATCCTGAAAACAGACCACCCTGAGGGAGAGGGAGCCCGCAGCGCTAGCAAAGGCCTCCTCAGCAAGGACAGCAGCCCAACCGTCCTCCCCAAGAAGGGAGAGAGCACTCCCCAGACTTCCCTCCCAGCGGCCCAGAGACTCCGCTGAACATCCAGACACCCACTTGCAAAGTGGACACTTCTACTGGCCCATTGTCTTGTCCCACCAGGAAAAACTCCACTGTGACCGTCTTCTTCTCTGTGCGTCTGGAAGCACCTGAGCGGTGGGTGAACAGCGGGAAGGCTCGGGCCAGGGCACAGGCAGAGGCGAAGGCATCAGCCCGCTCGCAGACCATCTGCAGCACAGAGAGGAGAGCGGTGATGAGGGCGGGCAGGCGGGCGGGCGGGGCAGGACACGGCCCCCAGGGAGCTGCAGTCAGGGGTGCTAGGGCTCAGAGGCCACCCTGCACACAATGTGCACACAGGAGGCCCAACCAGCCTTCACCCCGGGGCCTTCCCCGGAACCACTGTCTCACAACCTGACAGTAGACCCGAGTCTGGATCTGAGTCTCAGATGTGCCTACAGAACTGTTCTGGGGGAAATGGCTTCTCTCTGCCCCGAGCTTCCCAGTGTGTTAAAGGTGGGGTGACCGTGCCCGGTGGCGGCAGCTCTGAGCTCTGGGCCATGCTGCAGCGGGCTGGGCTCGGAGGCAGCCCTGCAGGCAGGAGCCCTCCTCTCGGACCACTCACCACGATGCACCGGTGCGTTCCTGGCGGCAGGCAAGTCCGCACAAGCCTGGTGATGAAGTGCGCTGCGGAGGGGCTGTTGTGCCGGCTCACCCGCGAGGGCAGCGCGGCCACGGTGGCGCAGTTCAGGTAGAGGGGGCAGCTGTCCGTGGGGTTGGGGTTGAGCGTGCTTAGAGCAGCCTGCCACAGCTGGGAGGGAGGGAGAGAGAGAGACAGAGCGAGATCAGACTCCGCCCGAAGGTGACCCCGGGCTGGGCGGGCATCACTAGCCGGCCGAGTGCAGCACCGAGCGGAGTGTGCACCGCGCTCGCGGTGTGTGTGCTGGCACCAGGCGCTTTGTGGGGCTGAGCAGTGCAGTGGGCAGTTGCCAACAAGGCCAGTCGGGGGGCTGCGTTACTTCGAACGCAGGAAACGCACGCTGGGGGGACCCAGCCAGGTGCCCCTGGAAGTGGGGACGAGTGGGCACTGCCACGGGGCCTGGAAGGAGGCCGTTCCTTGGAGGAGGCCCGGTGCGCGCGA